TGCAGCTGCAAAGCCCACAGCCCCTCTTTAGGTTTCCCTAACCCTCATCATCATAAGGGGATAGTCAGGAGAGTGGAGCCTGCTTTTTTAAGGACTTAAGTTGGCTGCACAGGGTCCAGAGGTGGCCAAACCTGGGCCCACTCACTGGCCTTGTGTCCTGGGGAACTCTGTAGACCTCTTACAGTCTCTGGTCCCCAGCTCTTTAAGGATGGGGAAGAGTGCTCCCCTGACGGGTGGTGGTTGGGGTGAGAGTCAGCGTAGGGAACGCCCTGGGCCTCTGCTTTGATGGGTGGGAGCTAACGTTGCTGCTACTATTGTTGCTGGGAGGGGTGGGCTTCATCCCCCACTCTTCAGTCTAGCCGTGTCCCATACTGCATTCACATATCTCTGTGGGTGTCCAGAGTCATCCTGCCTGTGAGGCTGGTCACCCCCCTCCCCACCTAGAGCTTCTCAAGGTCCCAGCCCCTGCAGGGCCAGCCAGGTCCAAACCCTTCTCTGTGTCCCAGTTTGTTCTGGCCAGTCCCCGCACAGGGCTGCTGTGTCTAACTGATGGGTCACGTTCGGTTCTTCCAGCTCCCAGGTCTTTGAGTGCAGGACCCCTGTAGCCCACTCTCTCACAGCTACAGCCTCTGCCAGGAAGCCTTACCTGGCTGTCTGCCTCCATGGCTGCCTTGCCCTGGGCTCCCCTCTTTGGCCCCTGCCCTGGTACTTTTCACTTAAAGTGATCTTTTGTTGTTCCCAGGGAAGGTGAGCTGAGCTCCGGGGCAGGGCTGCCTCACTGGTCCAGGACTCAGGATGTGTCTGTTGATTGGATGAATGAGATGCCAGGAAATTGGAATGGAGAAAAAAGGAGGGGCTTTGGGAACTAAGTTTCAAATCCTGTCTCTGTCGCAACCAGTTCTGTCTGACCTCGGGCCAGTGACTTAACCTCCCTGAACCTTAGTTCAGCAGTTGTGAGAGTAAGGGAGCGCAGAGAAAAGGCTGGTGGCTTCCTGTTAGAATTCAGAGCAGCCAAGGGACTCAGCCCAGGTGGGACCCATTGCGGGAGGCAGCCTTGGAAGAAGGTTTCTAGCACTCAGTGGGAGTCAGAAGACTGCCCAACAGCTTGAGTACCAGTTCCTGGGAAGCTGTGTGGCATATGGTCGTTTGACCTTTGGTGCCTCAATTTGACCACGTGTCAAATAGAGATAAAAACAGCAGTGCAGTCAGGATAGTGTCAGGGCTCAAGGGGCAAAGGGCTCTGTCTACGCTCTGCCTCCCCAGCCCCTCCTCCCTGTCACATCTGCTGAATCACCACTTGCTGAAGGCTCTGCTACCAAACTGTCATTGGGTCTCTCCACCCTGCCTGGGCAGGGCCACCATCAGTTCTTGTCTGGACAGCTGCAGTGGCCTCCTCGTGGGTCTCCCTCCAGCTCCCTCCAGTCCTTTCTAGTACACCAGCGAGTCTCAACTGGGGGGGGGTGAGTTTTTGTCCCCTAGGGGACATTTGTTAAGGTTTGGAGACCTTTTTGTTGTTATAACTCACGAGGAAGGGGGGTATCTACTGACATCTAGTGGGTAGAGGTCAGGGATGTTGTTAAAACACCCTACAGTG